ATGTGTTCCTTATTTCAAAGAAGAAATTCTTTTGTTGTATTTGAGATTTGTGCCAATCCAGAAATCCTTGAAGATTCATTCTGACAACTTACATTTTGAGACTTTTTAATGCCACAAGGAATGATTAGAAATATTTTCTATTCTATTGAAACAAAACCCATATCTATCTCAGAAACCCAGGGTCAAATCATGCATTGATGCTGAAAGTAATTTAGTCCCTTAGAGAATATCAGAATAGGAATTACACTTTTGTTGAGTCCTTGCACTTTTGTTGGGTCATACCAAAAACCCATTGCCGTTGAGTCTATTCCGACTCAATAGTGACCCAATAGGACAGAGTAGAACTGCCCCATAGGGTTTCCAAGGAGCGGCTGGTGAATTCAAACTGCCAACCTTTTGGTTAGCAGCCTCGCTGTTTAACCACTGTACCACCTGGGCTCCTTTCAACACACAGTGACCCTGTCTATAACAGAATGAAACGTTGCTTGGTGTTATGCCATCCTCACAATAGTAGGTATGTTTGAGCCAATTGTTACAGCCACTGTGTCAATCCATCTTGTTGAGAGTCTTCCTCTTTTTTACTGACTTTTAACTTGTACCAAACCTTATGTCCTTCTCAAAGGATTGGCCCATCCTGATAGCATGTCAAAAGTAAGCAAGGTGAAATGTCACCATCCTCGCTTCTAAGTCGGATTCTGGCTATACTTCTTCCAAGACAGATTTGTTTTTTTCTTCTGGCAGTCCATGGTATATTCAGTATTCTTCGCCAACACCATAATTCAGATGCATCCATGTTTTGGTCTGTCTTTATCATTGTTCTGCTTTCTCATGAGGCGATTGAAAGTACCGTGGCTTAAGTCAGGTGCACCTTAGTTATCAAACTGACATCTTTGCTTTTTTAGCACTTTATTTTTTTCTTTTAATTTTGCACTTTATTCACTTCCATTATGGCAAGAGAAAAATAATTATTTTTTATTTATTTTTTCAGAAATACAATTGAAAGCAACAATATTACAAGTGACCAAATATTAAATATATCTTGTCAAAGAGGACAAGAGCTTTTTAGCACTTTAAAAGAGGTATTTTGCAGCAGATTTGCCCAATGTAATACATCATTTGATTTCTTGACTGCTGCTTCCATGAGTGTTGATTGTGGATCCAAGTAAAATGAAATTCTTGACATCTTCAATATTTTCTTTGTTTATCATGATGTTGCTTATTTGTCCAGTCTTGAGAATTTTTGTTTTCTTTATGTTGAGGTGTAATCCCTACTAAAGGCTGTAGTCTTTGAACTTTATCAGTTAGTGGGTCAAGTCTTCTTCGTTTTCATTTTCGGCAAGCAAGGCTGTGTCATCTGCTGTTTCAGGTTGCTAATGAGTCTTCCTCCAATTCTGATGGCACATTTTTCTTCATATATCCCTGCTTCTCAGATTATTTGCTCAGCATACAGATTGAATAAATATGGTGAAAAGATACAACCCTGGAACATACCTTTTTTATTTTAAACTACATAGTATCCTCTTGTTCTGTTCAAACAACTGCGTCTTAGTCTGTGTACTGGTTCCACATAAGCACAATTAAGTTTTCTGGGATTTTCATTCTTTGCAATTTTTATTACCTATGAATATATAAAAAGGAGCCCTAGTGGCACAATGGTTAAGAGCTCAGCTGCTAACCAAAAGGTTGGTAGTTCGAATCCACCAGCTGCTCCTTGGAAACTCTATGGGGCAGCTCTATTAATTTCTGTTTTCAGAGACCTAAACAAAATGATTTAATTTAATTTATTCTACAATTAAACGGCAAGTGTAATTTTATTATATGGCAATATTGAACAAGCACACTCTATTCTGAAGTTTAAACTTTTTTTGTACGTAGTTTATTTGCAAGATCTCTTGAGTCAAATTTATTAGATACTTGCAAAGATTCTGAATGTCTTGCATGAGCAGACATATAGGAAATGCTGACTTCTAGCTCCCCGTAAATCCATCACTGACAGAGATGTACTAGCAGCCAGGTTTATTTCTTATCCCCTAGGATGCATGAATGCAACTCTGGGTTGCAAATTTTCCACAGACTTCCCTCAACAAGGCACTGATTTTTAAATCATCAATTATTATTACAGTAATTTTTGTGTATGGTATTCTTGTTCTTGCTGTTACTAAGAAAGAAAAAAAACCTTTATACAACTTAAAAAAAATTGGAGTTCTGAATTGTATTTACATCTTCACATCAAATTTAAAAACTTAAAAGTTATCAAAACCTGAGGGAAGGACAGAGGGAACAGGAACAGCCTGTGCAAATATGTGGTGTGAGTAACAGCAATGGCTGTTTGAACAATGGTAAGATCAGCATGGCTAAAATTTAGGACACATTTTTTGAGTCAAAACATAAGATTGAAGCAAACTGGAAAAGATTATGTAGAATTTTGTTACAGATATATGAATCAGTTGATTGGATTTGCTTTTGTGAGATGGTGATTTTGGCTAATGCAGATGAGTGAGTGAACCTGATTTAGAAAAACATTGCAGTGGTCTTGAAATAGATGGTTACAGTTTGAATTAAGAGAGGTCCAGTGGGACAAGAGAGAAGCAGCTGTATTTGTGAGAGTTTCTAAGGTGCCATTTTATGAGTAAATGACTGACTGAGTCTGAGGACTAAGGGAAAGCGTGGGATCGGAAGGGATTCCACTAAGGAAGTGAACAAGGGGGGAAAATCAAGGAACATCTTCATTCAGTGAGCTCAATTTTTAGAATGTTAAGTTTGAGAAGAGAGCATGATATGCAATTGAAAATGTCTAGTAGGCACTTACTGAGAGTTTTTTTTTTTCCCCTTTTTTTTTTTTTTTTATTGTACTTCAGGTGAAGGCTTACAGAATAAATAGTTTTTCATTAAACAGTAGTACACGTATTGTTTTATGACACTGGTTAACAACCCCACAACATGTCAACCCTCTCCCTTCTCAACTTTTTTTCTTGGTGAAAATATACATAGCCAAAGATTCACCGTTTCAAAAATTTCTACATGCACAGTTTAGTGACATTGACGACGCTCTTCCAATTGTGCTGCTATTCTCACTTTAGATGAAGTTTTACGGAACAAAATAGTTTCTCATTTAACAGTTAGTACACGTTGCCCTCTGACAATGGTTAACAACCTCACAACGCATCAACACTATCCTTACTCAACCTTGGGTTCCCTATCACCAGCTTTCCTGTCCCCTTCTGCCTTCTGGCCCTTGTCCCTGGACTGTTGCGCCTCATT